ATTCTGCTTCTTCTCCGGCCTTTTTCCACCATTCAATTGATTTCAAAAACTGATCCTAAAGGTCTTATTAATACCAAAGAGTATCCCAATGATTTGAAAACAACAATTAAAATCAACTACAGAAATTAAAGTTGCGACCGAATTAACATGTGTTAAGAACAAAACTAAAACTATTTTTCAACAACAATTCTACTGAACTTAGGAGCCTTATAAAATTTAATTAATTCAAGGTCTTAATAACACCTAAAATCAACCTTCTAATCCTTCTGTGAAACCCCAGAATCAACAGAAACATTCCCATGCTCCAAAGTAACAAACAGTTCGTAGAAGAGTTTACAGAACATTCACTATTGAAGAGAGCCTGCTCTAAGTTTTAAAGAGCAGGCTCTTTTGAGCCTGGAGCCGGCTCTATAGGTCTTAGAGACGGCTCTTTAAGCGTGGGAGCCGGCTCCCACATCCATGGAGCCGGCTCTCACCTCATTTGAGAGCCTCCGTCCCCGTTCTGCTCCGTTTCAGCCTATCTGCTCCACCTCCGGTCATTCCAGTTCCTCTGTTTCTCTTAAATACTAAACTTACTAGTCTTATAAATACCTAGTATCATTCCAATGGCCTATCTACAGTGGTTGGAAACAATTACAGAGGCTAAAATTGCAACTAACTTAAAACACTTTAAGAACAGAATGCCAAAACGAAAGCATGCATAAATTTTGTTTTACATAATTGATATCAACACCTACAGATCATTGATATAACATGTACTAAACATATAATTTCCAATTAATGTTCAATTAAACCCTAGAGACTATCTAGGTGCACAGAACACAAGCCAAAGGGAAGGAGAAAGAGAAGAACTTGCCTACAGTTTTGGTCTCAAAACTTTGTCGCCGTCTTCCTAATTTTCGGCAAACACTAACCACCTTCAAGCCTCCCATGGTTTTGTTTTAATCCACCATAACTCTCCCTTGGTCCTCTCTTATTTCCTCCCTGACAATCCTTACAATGCTCTGTTCCTCTACCCTCTGTTTTTACAGAACAACTCTACGTGTATGCTATGTGATATATCGTAAACCCTAAGCTTAAAGCATAATGGTATATTTATAGGCTTAATACCAAAACCCTAATCCTTGTCATAATAGAGACAAAGCCCTAAACTTAATCCTAGTCGGCCCATAATAAAGCCTACGATTAAATTCTATGTCTGCTACACCAGATGACGTCCCAAAACTTGTAGTAAAAATAACTTAATATATTTAAAAACTCACGTAGTTTAATTCACATAAGAATTCCAATAAGTCAATAAATGCAAATAAACAATTTCAATTAAATCACTATAATGCAATTAATTCAATTAATGCAAATAATTCAAATAAATCAAATAATAACACAAATAAATAATTTGACACATGAACACTTAGCCACAAAATAAATAAATAAAATAAAATAAAAATGCACATAAAATAACATTTAAATTCCAATTTATATCCCTTTCAAATTAGGGGTATTACAGGGATTGAGTTGGTTAGTCAAGGATGAAATTGAATTTGTAAAAGTTATTGAGAAAAGGCTTTTTAAGAAAGAAAGGGCCGGAAGTCGCGATCCGATGGCTAACTTAACCTAGAGGGAACACGTGCTGGTTTAGGACATGTATAGTTGAACAAACTAGGCTCCAAATGGTCGTCGGTTTTGAGGCCAGGGATGGTTAGTCAATTTTGTCTTGGTAAAGTTGATTAGCGATTTTCGATGTGAGTATTGTGAGTTGGGTTGGAGTCGGGATTGAATGGCATTGCATGACTCATTATCATTGACATTGATTATATATCTTGTTATATATGAGTTGTTTAGGAAATTATGTATTGTCCACATTCTATGTTTCCCGATATAGAATTTCCAATCAAAGTATGTGTTTTAGGCAATTCCTACTGAACCATTGTGCTCAACCCATATTTATCATTTTTAGGAACCGGAAAGGAAATAGTGGAGGATGCACCCCCACAGGCGTAAATGTTGATGTAGTGTCTCCTGGCTTCTCTCTTGTACAAGACTTGTGTAAGATGGTCACTATTCCATGAGGGCTATTCATTTTGTGTTTAATGTAATCTTGTTGGTAATGACATATTTGTAATCTCAAACTTGTACCCATATTCTTTTGATGACCAAGTGTATTTTGGTCTACATGTAATGACCTTATTATTATTTTTGTAAATTGGAATGTAATTAATGAACTTAGTTAAACATTTATGGATGATAATATAATTCGATCATAAGAATCAACTAGATGGTTATTAGCATATTTATTATGTGATATTGTAAGTTGGGACAGGTATTACAGGTTTCAAGTGACCATATATTTCCTAATTCAAAGGCAAAAAAAATGACTCAAATGAGCAAAAGAAACAATTCTGGGTTCTTTGCGATCTATCGTAGAGGTCCTACGATCAATCACTTTCCATTTTAATTGGATACGAAGTAAGATTATTACCATTTTAATTGGATACGAAGTAAGATTATTACCGAAGCATAGAGAGCATGTTCTATTGCGATCGATCTTTTCCCATTGTGAATGATCTTTTGACCCCTGCAATTGCGATCGATCATAACCTTGACTAGAGCATGCATTGTTCTTTCCCATTTGTGATCAATCCTAGGACCCTTGCAATCGATCGCAAACTTGCATTTCAGAAATTGTGGAATTTATTTCACTGTTCCCCAAAGGGCAAGTATTGGAGCGATCGATCGCAGACCTCCTGCGACCGTTCGCAGTCCCGACTTTATGTATATTTTAGTTATTTGCCTATTTAACCCAAGAACTCATTCAAATCACTTGTAGCCATCGTAGATGACCATTGTACCCATAGTGGGGCATTCTATTCATTATGGTTAGATAAAATGACCACATCACCCTTGAATTGACCTCAGGTTCAGGTAAGGACTCGGCTTATGTTTGCACCACCCAGTATCGATCCAGATTTACCGAATTTGGGTCATTACAGTGCTTGGCATGGCACTGGATCAAGAATTGGGTCTAACTCTATTACTAACTGTAATGGGCTCGGTGTTTCGCGGTCCGACCCATAAGCTTAAGTTATTAGATTGAGCTAACACCCAACCCATTTATATTCATTTTACTTCCCATCTGGATCTGACGTGCGACAAGGCTCCCCTTGCAACACTAGACCAGTGCAGAACCTTCCACTGCCCAAATAGCCATGATATACTGAAGTGACACTAACCAATTAATAGATGAAATAGGCTGGTTCAATTAGGTCCATGCTCTTTGAGCTTCAACTGACTATGGCAAGTGATGTAAAAATTTAAGCATTGAGAAAATGTAGGACTTCAACAAAATATTAGTGACCCATTTCTTTAGTATTCCCCTCCCAAATTCTATGGACCAAAACTTGTGAGATATGTGATTATGTGATGGCTAATTTTGGTGTCAACACAAGTCCAATCGAGTTGTAATTTTTTATTTTTTTATTTTTTTATTTTGAGTCTCAATTTTGAAAGCAGAACAGAAACTGCAAGCATACGTCGATTTGATGAAAACATCATGTAGAATAGGTATGTTGAGTGAGGACACTTCGCACATATATTTGAATTTGGTTGGGACAGAAAAACTAGGTTATTTGTTGAAAATTCAAATTCAGAAAAGTCCCACCAGTCGCATTTTTAGCTACCGGTCCAACTTATCTCGATTGGAAATTTTAAACCAAATTCTATAAAGTCCAACCAGTCGCACTCTTGGCGACTAGTTGCAATTCTCTTATATCTAGAAGGAAATTTCTGTTTTGTTTGTTTTGAACTTACTTTTTAAACCAAACTTATGAGAGAGATCCTTATTAAATTTTAATATATTTTTCAACCTATTTAAGGACTCCCATACCTAGATCATAGAGAATATTATTATTTAGTGTAAGAGTGCTTTTGAGAGTATTTTTCATGAAATATCCCCATAAATAGGATGGTGTTTTGAGTCTGATTAGGATTAAGAGCTTATTGAATATTCAGGTGATTCCATTCAAAAAGCGGGATTTATTTTTTTCTTTTTAACTTTGTGTTTGTAAGGAATGCAAATCAATTGTACTACGAAGGGGGCCGGTTGTTTCCAGTGCAGTTGTGTTCATCCAACAACCCTTGTACAAGGATTGGGAACAATTGAATGAGTAGTCGCAAGAGTAAGCCTACGGAGTTCTGCAATCAGTTCTTCGCAAAGTGGAGCTGGTGTGAATCTGAGGCAAGCTTGTTCTACTTTGCTTCGAGATAGTGGATTCTTTCGCTCGAGACGGCTAATTCTTTTGTGGTTTTTTCCCAATTGGGTTTCCATGCTAAATCCTTGTCATCTCTTGGTTTGCTTTATTTACTTGCGTTGTGTGATTTTTAGTTTTAATTGCGACAAAATTAACATAATCAAAAATCGGATGAATGTGCGAGTTAAACCTATTGATTCCTCCTGGGTTACTATTTTGAATTCAACTTTGACAACCATTCCACATTGTGCAACTCACAAAACTAACTAGCTAAATCAAACATGGAGGTTTATTCATAGTACGTATAGTTGCACAAAATAATCAGTCATCATAAGAGAACAATTCCAAGAGATCAAAACTCACTGTGATTTGATAAAACCATTCAAGACATCCATGTTATTGAACAAGGAAAATTTTGGCATTAATGGCAATCAAAATTATGCATACTTTATATTTTATTCTCCTACAAACAACCACCATAATATTTCTAGAAAACTCGAATAGTCTACGTAGAGTTACCACTAAGTTACAGTTATTGGGTAAAACGTTGCATATTTTCAATGTCTAATACTTTTGCATAATGCAGAGTAAACAAAATGAAAGGATTTGATAACAAGAGATATTTCCAGTATCTAATTGTTATGCACCCTTTTTTTGTCCCCTCTTCATTGTCTCTCCTACAAGAAGCATGCATGAGGAATACAAGCTAGATGCCATGCATAGAAACTTAAAAGTTATAACACTAAGCAGACCCTATAATTCTTGAGGTGTTTGATAATAATGACTGACCGAACGATCAACTTTAGGGCTTTCATTTTCTCCCTTGACCGGTACTAGACTCTCTCTGAACATAAAAACGTCAAGGCAGTGGCCATATCCACGAACTCCAATGTCCTTAATTTCTTTGGTATTAGGGTTGTACAGGATTAACTGTGACGTGCTATTTTCGAAAAAGACCTCACCACTTTTCCAAATGCCAAGTGGCCTCTCAATTTCTAAGATCGGTCCAATAGTTAATGGTTTATTCCAAATACCTTCCTCCTCCATCACCCACAAGTCAAAAATTTTCTCAACTATCTGGTAATCATAGAGGAACATAGCAATAGAATCATTGTACAATAGAAGCTCTCCCCATTGTGGCCCAGTAATATCAGGAGGCGCTCGTAAGTCTCGAAAATTCTCATTGGCCATGTCAAATGAAAGAATCATATAGTAGTCAATATCATTTTCAATGGTCAACCAATAATATGCTCCATTAATGTATGTGTTACACAAAGAATGGAGTATGGAACCCTTTCCGGAAAAATCAACTTCAAAAACCCGCCAAGAATCAGTACGTGAAGTATAAACTGAAACAACTTTATATTTATACTGGTTATCTATTGTATCATCCCAGCAGTACCGTATCCAAACCATCTTGAAATCATTAGTTAAAGGATCCAGCCCTATTCCAAAATTATCAACGAAGGCCGTGAAATGAGGTGGAAGGCCAGAGTGGGGCACTGGGAGGAACCTACATTCTCTTGTGGCAAGGTTCCACATCTCAATATGATCTGGATCAGTACCATCAAAAAGGAAAATAATGCCATTAAAGGGACCTACCATTGTTTCAACATAAGTAGGCAACTGAATATAATCGAGGTGGTGGTATTCATGAGGCGGACTTGCCAGCATTTTGTCTGGAAATAGGCCTAAAACTTTTTTTTCAGTGACTTGATTATAATGTTTAACAATGAGATAAGAACTATTGTGGCAATGGTAGAGGTGCTTGTTAATAAAATTGGAGCTTATGATGGTAGCGTACCAATGTTTGCATACACACCTAAATCGTATTAACGATTTTACCGATAATCTTGAGAGAATCTCAATTATCATATTTTCTGACATAAGATAATCTTCACTATTAGTCATAACTCCCTCTCTCCATTCAGTTGTCGAATCAATTTTCTTTTAGCTGGTACCAAAAAAAATAAAAAATAAAAAATCGTTAAAAGAATTTCCAATCCCAATATCAATTTATAATAAATGAGAACCAAAATATTTAGAGAATGGAAACAGTAGGCCATGTAAACAAAAAACGCAAGTATTCCATGTAAAGGACACGTAACAGATAGAAATCTAGGTATTTCAAGTTTGTTTAAGATCCTCAAATAGAGAAGCTGTGTCGACAATCTTTTTATAAGGAAATGAGGTCAAAGAATATTTTTGGATTTTGTATGTGTAATGCTGCCTAAACAGATGAGTAATGTTGTGGTTATGGAGGAGTTTGGAAATGAAATTAGTATTCTTGCGAGAGTGTACCAATAAACACTTCTGACCCGCAACAATGATATCACAGGGAGTGTTGAGAAAAGCTACATCTCGCTATTTCTTGCATGTAAATTTTAGCACTACTGCTTGTCATTGATCATCTCGTCCAATTAAATTGTCGAACCAATCCATCACATCCTAATACTGCAAGAAGCTTTATGAATAAAAAAAATAGCAAAAATTCAAAATTGAAATCAAAATGAGAATCCATTTAATTGACAATGAATCCAAGGTCTGATAAACTAATTAATCATTTCATTCATGGACATAAGAAAAGCACAACAGCATGTAGAGAGAAATAAGGAAACACATAAGAATAATTACCAAAAAAGAAAAGAAATATACAAGATGCTACTATGTAATTAAATCGACGATGCAACACCATCAATCTGGATTACATGCAACTTCCATATGAAGTGCTACACTCCAGAAGTAATGTTGCTGGAGTGTCAAATCTGAATGTAATATGTTATATGTGTGTTACAGTTTTACATCCCAACACTGTAAGAAGCATCATGCACTGGTTTTTGACCTTTATGTGTTGCAGTTATGAAGAAATTGGGTTGCATGAGAGTTTGGTATTGCATTCTAAATCTAAATTGTACAGAAAAATATAGTACAAAATATGTTCCCAAATGAATCCTGATTCCCTAAGGTGACACATACGGACAAGATATAGACCACAACTTCCTCACAAGAACTCATGGTCATTGATTCATTACCCAATTATTATTATTCTTGCCATCGATATATAAAATGGTGTGATGTCCCATTAAGGGATTAAAATCCTCTTCAGTATACATTTGATGTTGTTCCATGCAGTGCGCCCAAAACAATCACATTTTACATGTTTTAACCTAAGTGGTTCGCTTTGGTAATGGCACAAAAAAAATAAAAAATAAAAAATAAAAATAAAAATAAAAAATAAATTGTTATCTGATAGGTTATAAGAAAGAAAGAGGGTTTTCATTCCTTAAAAAACCCATTCTGGTGAGAACTATCTATCGATCTCATTCTTGTCTGACCATTCGTGCCTCAGATGGGGCAGGACCAAGAGGTCGAATACCTTCTAATGATGGGGTTGGTATTGTTACAAAAAACTTATCCAGGGGTCGGGACAGGGATGGGATGAAAGAACTTCCGATCAAAGAGGGAAAGGTTTAGCAAACCGAGTCCCGGACTCACCTCATTGCCATCCCAATTTATGCAAAAATGTCTTCATAGGGCTATGATTTAATTTGTTGAAAATTACCTCAATGTTTGACCATGTTCCATGAATGGGTGTCCCACAAAATATTTTTCTCTAGCAGGTTATATGTGAAAATCTCTAAGAACATACACTACCACTAACAACCTTTTGAAGGGATGAGTTACGTAAAAATGTGGCAACTCGAGTGTGATGCTTGGAGTTAAAGACTTTGAAACTTAGTTATAATTAGGTACTGTGTTTCAAATTCTTAGTATAATTAGTTTCTATTTTAGAGTTGTATTTCCTTACTTTTTTTTTTTTTTTTTTGTTAGGCAAATCTTTGGCTCTAAGGAAATGTAATTCTTGTCGAATAAGGAATTAGATTTAAGGAAATAGATACCTAGGTTACGGGTTGTGATTTATGAAATTAAGAGAGATGTAGCCCTAATTTTATAGCAGTATGGTGGAGGGAGATAGTCTTAGAAGGGAATTGATGGGTAGAGGTAGTTTAGGGGTTTGGCAGAGTGGAGAGAACATCGATGCGAAAAGAGAGTCTCCAGAAGTGGTACACGATGAAGTGCTCCTGAGCATTTTGGGTTTTCTATATAGTTATAATATCTTTAGATCAATTATAATGGAATCTCTTCTCATCCGTGGATGCAAGCTGGTTTTGGCCTAACCATGTTATATCTTTTGTTAGTGTTTGATTGTTTTATTAATTTTATTGTTGTCGTTTTATCCGTACGCTTTCGATGTCCCAACAATTACGAGGTCCTATGATCCCATTAGATGTCCCTACTCTCCTCACCAAAATCCTCTCTGGTGTACTACTTCTCACGATATTGTGTGGTATAAGATGCAAAGCATGCCACATTACTCACTAATCAAAACGTTTTTGTTGAAAACGAGTTTTGAATCTAGAGATTGTGGAAAGAAGACTTAAAAGGCTGTCATTTTTGTACTTCACAAGGAGTTTTTGAAAAATACATCTACAAGGTCAAAATTTGGCTGCAATTTGGCGTAAATATGTAAAGAAGATTTTGACAGATTTTTTATCGAAATTTGACAGATTTATTCTCCTACAAGTTCTTTGCTGGTGTTGAGAGTACTACTAAGGGTGCTATCTCTTGGTATCTCTCATATGCATGAAGGGTAGTGTTGATTAAATCTATACTTTACTCCATTCAAGCATATTGGTCCCAATATTTTGTGTTGCCAAGAAGAGTTTTTGAGCAGAATAATCATATTTTAAGGTGCTTCTAGTGGTCTAGTGTAGAGATGAAGAAGAGGGGAGCTAAGATTGCTTGGTCAGCCATCTATAGGCCAAGGATCCATGGTGGATTAGGGTTTCTAGACTTAGAACTCTCGAACATCCTTGCAAACCTCAGACACATATGGAAGTTTTACATAAAGAAAGACAGTCTGTGGGTTGCTTAGACTCACAGATACCTCATCAAACCAAGAAGTATTTGGACCACCAAACCAATAGCACTGAGTTCTGGTTTTTGGAGGATGTTGTTGAAGTTAAGGGGATTGGCTAGGGATCTCATCAGGTACAGGGTTAGGGCTAGAACATATACAATGATGTGGTTAGACTTCTGGCTTCCAAATGGTCCAGTTGTCTCTCAATTGGAACTTTCTGAAGTGGAAATTCTTCAACTAGACACTTATGCCTCAGTTGATAGCCTAATTTCTAACCTTCAGTGGGTAATTCCACACACAATTCAATTCCCTTTATTCTTTCAATCACAAGACTTCTTATCCCAGTTCCACAACATTACCCCACTATCAACCACACATGACACATTTGAATGGTTGCCAAGTCCTACACTGAATTTCTCCCTGGCACATACCATGAACTACTTCACCCCCCCTTCAATTATCTTCCCATGGCACCATCTTCTTTGGTTCAAGCACCATATTCCAAAACATGGTTCCATTAATTGGTTAGTAGTCAGGAATAGATGTTATACCCTTGACATTAAACCTATGCTGAACAAGCATTATACAAATGCTTGTTTTCTGTGTAATTCAGGCTTTGAGTCTTTATATCACCATTTCTTCAGCTGCAATTACAACTCTCACATTTGGAGGTTTATCCAAGAGGTTGCAGGATTCACATATCAGTCTAATTCATGGGCTCACTTGATTGCTTGGTGCTCCACTCATTAGATCCCAAAGAATTTTCTTGTTCATAAGCTGCTACTTTCTGCTACAGTTTACTTCCTTTGGATGGAAAGAAATTCTAGAGCCTTCAAGAATAAATCTTGTTCTCCACATCATGTAATTTCTCAGATTAAGTCAAGTATATGTGTAAGATTAGCTTCTATCACTCTAAGATGCTGTTCAGACCTCAGTCAACTTATATCGCCTAATGATCTACAAAATCTTTACTTCAAGGGCTGTTCTATCTCAGGAGGTCACTCATGGCTAATTCCCTAGTGGTAGATGTTTGTTTGATGTTGTTGTTGCAGAATCTTTTGATGCTGTTGCAGTTCTCCATCAGTTGTTTTCACCCTTGTATGCTTAGGGTCTTCTTACGATGTTTCTCAATTCAGTTGTTTTAATTGCTTTGTGGGCTTTGGCCTGTTGTTGTTTCCTTCAGGGGTTCACTTAGGCCCTTCACGTACATTCTATATCTTCCTTCTATATATACAAGCTTACCTTTTAACTAAAAAAAAAAAAAAAAGGGTTCTTTCTCTTATTAAGCCCTAGAGATTATATTATATATATGGGGGGCTAGAGGCAGATGAAAGGACCCCGTAGAAGGTAGAGAAAAGGAAAGGAGGCAAAGGGTCGGAGAGACGACATAGAGCACTCAGTTGGAAGAAGTTCAGGTTTTACTTATTTACTTTAGTTTTCTTTAATTAATTGTTTTTTGGTTTTTTAACCATGTTTAGCAAAACTCCTAAACTAAAGTTGTGAGGAAACTTCCATTGATGAAATAAAATTTCTCTTATTGTTTTTATTAATTCCCATGTGTGTGGTTTGGATGTTTATGATTTTGGCGTCATAAGATTAATTATTTTAATTTTTTTCACCACGTATATCATGTATTAGTGGTAGTTGGGAATAAGAAATAATTAATCTAAGCTTGGTTTTATAATCTTCAAATAAAAATCTTTGATTTTATGTTTTTTAATACCTTAGTGATTTTTTCTATATATTTAATTCTCATTAGCTTATTTTAAATCTGGCATGCTTAGTATAATTATTTATTCTACAATCAGAGTTAGATTTAAATTAATTTAAATTTGCATTAGTTTTTCTTGAAAAACTTTTATTTTTCAAAACATTCCCTTTGTTTCGACCTCAATCTTGCCGGTTTATACCCTCAATAAATTTGTGTGTTTGCGAGTTATTTTTGAAAAAAATCAATTTTTTGGCGCCGTTGACGGGGTTTGCAAGAAAA